ACATGGAGGGGTCCAGTGGAAGTCCCACCAGTGGACTTACAGGCATCAGAGGACCAGAAGGAATTCAGGCAGGACATTCTTCTAAAATCCTAATATAAYCTGATTTACTTTTCTGTGTTGCTTTTTTCACAAGATCTAAGTTTAAACTGAAATTCTGCCTGTAGATTTTAAGTTATTTTATTACAAATGAAAGTAACTTTAAAGGCAATCAGTGCTATTTCAAACTATCAATATAAGCATAAAGTATTATGAAACAATGGTTTTCTTACCTAAAAATGTGTTTTCTTGGAACTAGTTTGATGATTTTTAACCAAATCAGTCACAAAGAGTTTAAAATGACCAAAGCAAATATTTGTGTTTTTAGGGTCCGCCAGGTTTACCAGGACACCCAGTGAGTAAAACGAATCATCTTTCACTCACATTATGGGTGGTACTGCTAGCCTTTGTTTCTGTTAGCTAACCTGAATTTATGTTTTTAGGGTAAGCCTGGTTTGCCTGGTWTACAAGGTCCAAAGGGGGATCAGGGTCCGTCTGGAAAAGATGGACTACSGGGCCTGGACGGCTTCCCTGGACCCCCGGTGAGAAACAGGACCTGTAGTTCTGAATGAGACACTTGTTGGCAGATTGGATGAAAGAAAAGAAAATATTTTTTTTTTCTTTCAGGGTCAAAAGGGTGACAGAGGGGACAGAGGAGAGAGGGTATTTATTATTTTGATCCTGGATAAATTAATATTATTACACTAATTGTAATTCTAAATAAAAGTCTGGGATTTGTTGGTTTAGCTTTGAATGATTGTTTCTTTGTGGTGTTAGGGTGAGCCGGGTCGAGATGGAACTGGATCACCAGGTCTACCAGGTCCACCTGGACCACCAGGACAAATCATCTACCAGCCATCTGACAACGTGAGAAACAATGAGTCACAAGAAACAACTTCCAGACTAAATTACACACTAACAACGGCTTTTCTTTAACTTCGGTCTCACTTTAACTCCAATTTCTTCAGTTTGATAACTTTGCTGGCAGCGTCGGAGCCCAGGTGTGTTTTCACTTTTCCTCTGTACTGATTCAGTTCAATTCATTTCAATTCAGTTTATTTATATAGTGATAAATCATAACATATTGTCTCAGGGCACTGAACACAAAAAGCAATCCTAAGCAGCTCATTGGTGACAGTGGAGAGGAAAAACTCCCTTTTAACAGGAAGAAACCTCCAGCAGAACCATAAAATTCTCCTTTTTTATTCAGAACTGATGAAGTTGTTTAGATTTGCAGTCAGATCTAATTAGCCTGATACTTTAGTTAAATACTGAAGACTGATGAAAAACACTTTAATCAATATATGTGTCCCTCATAGGGTGGGCCTGGTTCACCCGGCCGAGCTGGATTTCCTGTAAGTTTCATTGTCTTGCATAAAATTTTTTATGTATTTATTTATTTGCTAAACAAATATGTCTAGTATAAGATCATTTTACCGGAAACCAGTTTAAAACAAAATGTGCAAGCTATTTTATAAAGAAGCTATGCAGTCATATTTTAATGTGTTCAAAAGTCTTTTTCACTTCTATTCCACTCAATTTATTAACATATAATAATTCACATTTAGATCTGCAGTTTGTATAAAACTAGCAGGATTTTAGTTTTGACCTGATTTTATGTCCATGCAATCTGTTGACACTAACACATAAAAGTGGTAAAAGTAATTAAATCAATGATGGACGGGATTTTTTAAAGTAAATTTTTAATATAGAGCATTTCTGGTTTTTGTATCCAAAATATATTCTAAAATAAATGTCTTTTCCTTTTTCTGTTTGCTGATATCAGACCATATTTATTATAGGAAGGCCTGAAATGTAATTTCTAGGCTCAGTATTGAAACAACGGCTGAGTCAGCAGTTTACTGTTGAACAGAGCCGACGGAGATTAATGAGCTGTTTATTATGGTCTGAAATAATCGTGGGTCAAAGAGTTTCTCTCTGCCCGTGTTGACCTTGTTTGTTTCTAAACTTCRCACATTTATGTTCCAGGGTCCTGTTGGACCGAAAGGTGACAGAGGTGACCCTGGTCCACCAGGTTATGGACTGAAGGTAGCGTCTGATTCTTTAGTTCGGCTCATTTTAAAGCTGCTCGTCATCTGACACTCTGTTCTTGGGTGTTCAGGGTGAAAAAGGGGAGGCCGGGTTTATAATTGGACCTGATGGGAATCCGTTGTATCTGGGAGGACTAACTGGTCCTAAGGTCAGTTTTATCTCATAACCCAATTATTTGGTTATTTTCCTTCGTTTGTACTTAAAACTAATCATCTCTACTTTTGCACGTTTAGGGAGAGCGAGGACCTCCTGGACCTGTTGGACCACCAGTAAGTGTTTTCTTTAATTACTTTCTTTAACAAAAGGAAAAAAAAACATTTATTTTCTGGTGTTCATTGTATTATTTGTTATTTTAGGGTTTACAAGGGCCTCCTGGAAATAAGGGTGAATTTGGAATGCCTGGAAGACCTGTGAGTGACGCCACTACTCTGTTCTACATTAATACATTCAGTGGTGGGCAGCGCTAATCCAAAAATTAGCTCCACAACTTCAAAAGTGCTTATGCCATAGAAAAACTAGCGGAAGCTAATTTTTAAATRCAAGTTCAATTTGACACTTACAGCTGGCAACAATTCATGTACAATATATGTACAACACTGCCAATTAGCGGTGTATGAACTCTTTTACAACTTATTCCTACAACCGCCGATTGATGGTGATGTGATTTCAAGAAACAGACCTTTAGCTTCTGGTGTAAAAATTAAAAAGTTGTTGAGGATTGCTAGTTCGGCTGCTGCTTTGTCTTTTTCTTTTATTTGTTGTAGATTTTTCATTAAAGAAGCATCAATAAAGTCATTTTAAAACTGTTAATTGGAAAACTGAAGCGGCGGGGCCTGTGGTTGTAGCTGTTGGCCATGTGGGTTCTGCGTGTGGTTGCTGGTAGGACTCTCCTGGTTCTCTCCAGTGTTCCTCTCTGGGGG